TGGGTGTGGAAAAACGAGTATACGCCAAGTAGATGGAGGGAAGGAGTGGTATAAAAGTTTGAGATTATGAATATATCACCGTTCTCACCAGTTGGATACCATGAGATTCGCTCATAGCGATCAAGCACACGCCACCGGCGACAAGGTTGCGCCAAGCAGTCCTGACCCGCCTGGTGCCGTGCATGATGCAAGAGACCACACTTTTGAACCCGAACCCACAATCACTTGCTTGCAAAGGAACAGTAGTCCAGGTGTTAAGAATGGTGACCGCACTTTTGCCCAGGGATTCACTTGGCTGCAGAGAGGGAGAAATCTGTATCCACGGGTAGGTAGTGTATCTCCACCCGCCGTAGGTGAAGGTCGCAATGACATTGGTGGATTTTACTGAGTGTAAGAGCAGCCAGGTGATACTGAGTATCAAGGTTGCAGCCAGAATGAACGGATTGAGAACCATCTGCGAGGTGGGCCCCTAAGATGGCAAACCCTTAGTATGATGAGCCCCCAAGATGGTGACCCGTAAGATGGTGATCCCCTTGTTCGCTCCAGTGCCTCCCCTCAAATCTGCACCCACACGCGTGCAAACAACGAGTACGCCTGTGGTCAGGCGTTCGCGGCGTTTACCCGGTCAATAAAGCACCATTTGATACTGTAGAGTATGCACTGCTGTCACAGGCCACTGATCTACACGACACGGATCAAGTGCCTCATGCTGAGATTTCCGAAAACCTCTTGCAGCTACGTGAAGCACGTCCATGCGGACCCTGAAGCAGCCGCAGTCGCTGCGGCCAATCTTGGCCTCACGTACAGCGGCAAGAATAAAGCCATGCTGGCCAAGTTCTTCACGCTCGCCGGCTCTCGCGAGTCTGGTACACGGCAAGAAAATCCATTGTTGGCGACACATGTGGCGACTCTCGAGACCGGCGACATGGTCACGCCGGAGCAGGCGGCACGCAGGAAAAATATCGGAATAATTCGTCGATCGGCGTACATGTACCCCCTCCCCTCACAACAGTTGGGCTCAACGGAAAGCAACTTCTGAGCTGGGTTTGCCTTGCACGCACACATCCACCTAGCAAACGCCCGAACACTGCGATGTTGCACAAGACAAGGGGCACTGCTTCGAGCACTTACGCATTTCAGACAAAGCAGCGATCCTCCTCTCGCCAATCAACGACGTTCGGCATCTCGACAATCTCCCCCGGTACCTCTCTGCCACAGCGAAACAGGTGTCAAAGAAGACTCCATCGCGTAAAGAACACTCAAGCTGGAGGAGGGGAATCTTCTTACGGAACGGTGCTGCGTCCAAACCGAGACGCGGGGTCACGCGACCACCAGCATCGAGCACGCCCCTCCGTTGTAAAAGGTTGCTCCAAGGCCTCGATCACAAGGGCAAACATTGCGTGCTGACTTCCTCCTAGTCTCAACGAGGGGCTCAATTTCTCTCGAGCGGCGGCAGCTTGCTGCTGTTGAAGACGAACTTGGGCAGCAACTCTCGCTTCGTCTTGGTGGGGTCTCTGAACCTGCTCCCCGAATGAGACAAGAAACGACAGTTGGTGCCACCGTAGTGTCAGGGAAGGGATGGATTTGCCAAGAAATTCGGCGAACAAGCATTCGTAGGACAATGAAAAAGTGTACCGCGGAATAAAAAGTGGCGCTCGTTGGCGACGCGAAATAACTTGTCTGCGTTGGAGTCTCAAGCAAAACACCTGACGCCATCGCCCAACGCACAATAACAACACCACAGACCACACGAGGTACACCCGCCACCCTGTGCTACTCACTCTTCATGTACCGCAACGATCTTCTCGTGGGCCTCCTCGGTGACCGGACAGTTCAGCGCCCGGAGATTCTCTCTCAGCGATTCCGTGGTCGTCGCACCCACAATGGTCGATGTGATGAACTCGCGCGAGTAGACCCAAGCCAGGGCCATTTGCGCTGGGGTGAGACCGATCTGTTCCGAACAGACAAGACGCGGGCATTCGAAGGCAAGAACACAAGGCGGAACAAGTAACACATCTGAGCATGTCGGCACAGCTACTGCTGTTGCTTGCTTTCGAGACTGTTCCAAGCGCCACGACACAATCACACAAGAGACGAGGGTGTGTTGTGCAGCAAAAGTCGTCCAGAAACGCCACTTGGGTTATACACGCAAGGGTCGCAAGATAAGCATGAACGCGAAATCATGTAACAACCCCACTTCATCATCATGATACGTTGACACATGCAGCCACGTGGTAAAAGTACTCCACCTGGATATCGACCCTGGCACCCACAACGATACCACCAACCGACGCACACACAGTAGCTGCAAAATGAAACACAGTGCTGACCAAAACAACAACCCGGACTAACACATGTGTGTTGTGTTGACTAATTGCACGACAACACCAAGGTGAAGACGTCGGTGGCTCACGCACGTCAGCGGCAATCTTGGCGTATCTAGCTGTGCACTCGATGCACTCGGGCGTCCTGTAGCGGGAATAGTACCCCGGGAACTTGTTCAGCCGGGCGTCGGGGACTGGCACATCAGGATCCAAGTACTTGCCGCTCAATACCCTGGTTTTTTTGGGGGGGCAGCCAAAGCCACGGACAGTCACGCATGCGTGGCGTTCGGGGGGGAGGGGGTGGGTACTCATGTTTTTGCATGCCGTGGCGGGTAGACCATTGACCACGCGTCCTTGGGGGGGTATTCTTCAGCAAAACGGGCCAGCAGATGGGGCGGCTTATTAAAATGAACCTCCGTGTGCTTGGGAGTGACTGCGAACAAACATGCACGTTCCCGGCGGCCCGATCACCTACGGTGCTTCAATTTCCACCTTCGTCATTGTCAGAGGTGCATTGAGTGCCACCGCACTTCTGCGGCCTGTACCCCCCCGCGGCAACGAGTTCCGGTAATCCCCGGAAAGCAGATTCCACCAGGCGCGCGTCATGCGCACCCGTTTCCTACGGGAGTGTGTCGCATGGGCTGACGCGGCCCCACTTGATGCTCCGGTGAACCAACACAATTATCCACTTTGGCATTCAACCAATGCATCGAGTGACAAGCATCACAAAGTGACACGTTGGGTAGCCAAGGTATACAGGAAGTCGAATGATATCAATGACTGCCAACCCAAGAACGTGAGCACAGACTTCGTCAACAACAGCAGAACACCAATGAACGGTGTCGCAATAGTGCAGCATAATCAGCAGCGACTGTAGCGACGTAGGCAACAAGAACAAACCCGCCGGCCAACGGAGAGTATGCGAGGTAGCTGACATCGGCGTTCGCCCTCGAGCAAGTCTCCGGCATACTGCTCAGCTCCACATCCGCGCGGGAGAGCATGTTGTAGTTGTTCTGCACACCGACGCACGAGACGCACGACAGTTATCCCACCGAACGCATGAGGAGAGAAAGTCAAAGTGAGCGCAGGCCAGATGTACAAATTGCGGACGATGGCAGCGGTTACAACCACTTCGGTGCGATATTCACCCGAACGGGCAAGGATAAGGTGATTTCGCCGACCGAGGGGGAACATGGCACTAATCAGGGAAATGAAGCGGTCATTCCTCTCACATCTAGGCGTGGTGCATCGCGTGGCAAAGCGAGCTCGAGTTGAATCGGAAGGGGTGAGAATGAAGGCAAGAATAGACACCAAGCCGCACGTGTGTTGTGGTCGTGGCGGAGAGCGTGTGACTTGACGGCGAAGTCGGACGGGGAGGCCGGATAGAGGGGGGCATACGCGTCTGGGCTAGCCATAAAGTCATCACCCCCCCCCCAGACGAAGACACGACAACGAGGGAGGGTCTTGGCCTCCATCAAATGGTGACGATTCAGTGATACCAGTAGGCCTTTAACAAGTTGGGATGGCTCGAGGCGCCGCCCATGTAACAAAAAACGAAAATCACTCAGGGCGGTTCAGACGGCGCTGGAAAAATAACTGAACGCTTTGACAGAATCCGAGGGGGGAAGAAATAGACTTGCCCGACTTCCCTGTGATGGGGGTGCTCCAAGGAACAAGCGCTTGTGGCACCTCCACACGAGACCCATTAGGAAATCAATCAAGAAAACCAAGGCAAAAAAAGGAAAGAAAACACTCACACGAGCCCAAGCCTTACCGAGATAATTAAATCAATCCGAAACAACTCTACCGCTGTGCCTCATATGCATGCGTTGGAGCTGCTGTCACCTGCACCGACGCTACTCGTGGGTAGCCCAATCGCTCGCCAAGCTGCGCCATCTTGGTGATGCCATACGGAGTGTCGTTGCTCGTGCCGATTGCACGAACCTTCGGCGGCAACAGCGGCGGCAACAGCGGCGGCGGCAACAAGAGCAACAGCCACAGGAGGGCCGGCAAGCTTCGTTAGTGACGGGAAAGACACACAGGAACACAACTCCTTCGAAACAGCGGTGGATGCAGGGAAGAAGAACCCTCACTACCGTCAAAACTCCCAAGATTTCCAAAGACGAAACACAAGAGGCGAAACCATGCACGTTGTGTATCTAACGCCAAAACTATTTCGCTTGCATGAACGCCACGCTGTGAAGGAGGCTCGGGTTCGTGAGACAAAACACGGCTTCCTTCCCACCATCCCAACGAGAGTAGGGCCAATCACTCCCCTCCCCTAGAGCTCTTACCTTCCCTGCCCGGCAAAGCTCGTCCATGACCTCCAGCTGCTCCTCGAAAGATGTGTCGTCATCTCGTTCCTTCTGCTCGAGATGAGACAAGAGATGCACCATGAACACCGTCATCAGCGTCATCACGGCCAAGAACGGCGAACAACGTCAACACCAGACACACAAAGCGAGGGACTTTCGTCAGCAACCACAGCATGGAGAGCGCAGGGGATACCAAGGCCACAAAGCCGCGCCTTCCCCCACCCACAACCATGAGCTCGCCGTGTAGGAGCACGAGCATTCCCCCCTCCATCACAAAACGATACAATCTCTACCTTCCCCCCGTGACAA